ATAAAACTAGGTTAGGTTATCTGAACACAGCAAAGCTGATGGCAAAGCCTGAGGAGAGAGATGCCTTCTTAGACTTTCTAAAGGAAACCAACTTATATTCACATTACATATGATGAACATCAATCATGCAACCAGATTATTTGCCTGAGATTGAATCCAAGTTGAATTCCCAGTCAGCATTCAGCAGTCTTAACCACTTACTGAATGGTGAAGCTTAGGTAGAACTAACAGCATTCTGTACTTTCAGCCATTCATATGCTCCTTTGAAGAAATAAATAAATAGACTAAAGGTGGTTAAATTACATACTTCAAATATTTACACTAAAAAGGAAAATTATTAAATAATCTGCAGTGTAACATAATAAATACAATGACAAAAAGCTCATTCTTCAGCAAACATAATCTCCAACATTTAATCACTCTGTTTTTAATGCATTAATACAAAAATGAATAAATAAGATATAGATTTCCCCGAGAGTATTTCCAAAAGTAATATACAGATATATAATAAGTTTATCATTTGATGAATAGTCACTTAGATTAACTTACCTGCTTGATAAAGGAATTATTGGACTTGTTACAATATGTGGAAAATCCCATAGTTTGTACAGCCTAAAAAAATTACTGCTCCTATTAATTGTTAGTGTTCAGACCTTACCATATATAAAATCCTCAAAGCATTACTATTATAACTATAATAGGAGTTGTTTTCTCCACTGAATGTTGAGATTAGAATCTGCTCAATCTAGATTTAAAATATGTCTTTTTTTGCAGACATTTTGCAGCTAAATGAAAGAAAGAAATCTATTTAATGATACTTTAAAATAAATTCAGGTATTTTATATTTATTTAGCAGCATACGTAAGCAAAAAATATGTGCATTAAATTTTGTGATGGTACGTCATCATACTGCTAAAATCAGTTTCAGGAGTATGCCAGAGAAAACTGCCTGAAGTTTGAAAGTATTAACTATTAATAAATAAACTTAGACGGAAGAAGCCCCATTAAATGATACAAATAACATTAAAATAAATTATTTAAAAGATTAAAAATGGAATTGCAATGATCAATGATATTTTGGCGAATATAATTATATTAAATGGTCAGCCTAGATGACTAATTACTATTTTTTTTATTTTACTGCAAAATGAAAAGAAAAGAAAAAAAAAAAAAAAGTTTAAAAGAATTTGTGGTAAAGTTCTAGTATTATGGTACAGCCTTGACACGATTTTGAAAATTGTCGCCAACACCAAAATGACCCGTTTATTGCTCATCGTAATATTGCCAAATCCCGTGTGTACCGTACACTAGGATTAAACTGATTTTGTTTTATACGAGAATGGGAAGATATTTTCTTTCGTTCAACATACACTGCACATGTATATGTGAATCTCTTGATTCTTGAGGTTACTGGAAGCCAAAGTTGATGGAAACTTGCTTTGCCATTCTAATTAATAATCTGATTGGAGTTGCGAAAATTGGCTCTATGCCTGCTGCCAGAATGGCGCTTATGCAATATATAATTCACAAAGAAAGTAATCGCTTCCAATGCTGACATAATAATCGCTTTCTTTTTTCGGATTGTCATATGAAATTCCCTGACTTTTAAGATTTTGACTAAAATATTTAAATTCCCTGACCTTTTCCCAAATAGCGTGGCAACCCTGCTAATGTCGATGATTCTGCTATTTTTCCAGACCCTAGCTTATCAAATACATTGCCCCACACTGACAACTAATCTTTAAAGATTAATATATATAAATCTTTCACTGCTTTCAACTGTTCAGCTAGGCACAAAAAATTCGCATAACACATTATGATCACTTGGAAGCATCTTTTATATTATTTGAGTTATGAATGTGCAAAGCTTTAATTTCTTGTGGAAGATACTGTAAACTGTTAATTTTCAGATGGATAGTTCTCAGCTCAAATTATGAATGGATTTCCGTTTGGCTTTTGATGGATCAGGTAACACACATGATCAGCCATATCACTATTCATGAATGCAAGAGACTGCTGGTTTCTTTAAATTGTTTCATTCCCTGCTTAGCTAAATTCCTTAGTGGAGAATCAGAATTATATTCGATATGGAGACATCTTATGATTTTAATTCTGCAACGTAAGTCTTCTGCTATACAAACACTATGGCTATGGAATGCAATTTTCTCATATTGTTTTTATCATGCCATACATAATGCCAGTTTTAAATTTCTGGATAGAAGAAACAATACAATTTGGAATAAAATAGTTAGTGCTTATAATTCTTTTTTTTTTTTTTTTTTCCATTACTTTGAAATGAGTCCACTATTTTTTTTACACTTATATTGTATACTCGAAAACACTTATGTTATTATTATTAATTTCTCACATTGTATTGGTACTCATATACTATCAGTAATGTAATTTAAATCTGAACGTTCTTATTACCGCTGAAAGATCAATAGTAAATCTTAATAAGATGTAAAGCAGAAAATAGGAGCCTACTTTCCAAATTCAAGGAGTAAATAACAAATTATGTGAACAAACTTAGAAGGGAATATGCACAGAGAAAGAATATGGAAAAAAATAACTCCCAATTTAAATTATACATAATATTCCAGTTCATTAACATTACAAAAAGAAAGAAAACATGGGAAGATATGCAGAAATTATAAAAAGTGTTAATGCATTCTATAAATTAAAGAGAACGGAAAATTACTAGACAGAAATTAACTAGAACATAATGAAATTGTGCATACAGTTTTACGTCATGTCTTCATTTAGATATAAAAAAAGAGCATGCCCAAGTTTATTTCCTCTTTTGTCATTCACAATTTTAGTAATAAATTGAAAATCAACTACAGAAATTAAAATTTATTACAATAATTTATAATTCTCTACTGTGTCAAACTCCAAATTGACATTCCAATTGTATGACAGCTACAGTTTGCAGCTCATATATGAAGAACAAGGTTGGATATTTCTCTTTCTGATGAACAATATGAGTCCATTTTACAAGATACCTACTCATGATTAATTTATTCTTGGTACATTCTTAATACAATAGCATAAAAGCAGCCAGTAGGTGCCATTGTTTCTGAAAGTACCAACTCTACCACTCACTAATTGTTAGGAATAAATTGGCAATTTTTTCAAATTATTAGCAAATGTTTACAACACTTAAACTATCAGTTATGTTCCCAATTATTTCTTCCCACTAACAAGTTTTTTATTACAAATATTTATAAAATTTTAAAGTCATGTTTTTTCATTAGTAAAAAATGTCTGTTTATGCACATACGATAAATTCACAGAATGTAAAAATAATATGTGACATTAATGTAACAGTATTTCTATTACTCTGAATTTATTTATTTTTTGTCACAGTTTACTTCCATGTATTTCTAACAAAGAACATACAATAAAATGACTATCAGTTAAAATGTACATCTTTATGCACTGAAGTTCCTCCCTTCCCACAAAGTTCTATAAATTACATACATAAATGCTGTATACAGCAAATGTAGCAATTAAATAATTCTGTAATTAACAACAGATTTCTGATAATCTACAAATATTTGTAAATCTAAGTTAATTTTTGGATACAAACAAAATTTCTATTTAAAACCTTCAGAGTGGTAAATTTAATGGTATATTTTCCAGTATCTATAGAAACTTTTCACCAAAAATAATGCTTATAACATATTTTTATTGAAAAGAATTAATTTTAGTAATAAAATAAAGTAGTAAAATATAACTAGTAAAGTAATTTTAGTTATAAAATAACGTTTTCTGAGCAAGCTCTGGCACTCTTTTTTTTACAGTAAGCATGAAAAATCTATTCAAATTTTTCTTTTAGATAAATTCTTACTTTCCCTACTTTTACATTTTCCACTGCTTTCAAATTAATTTTAAGTATACATGGTTAACATAGGTAAAAAATTTATTTATCACACACTTTTTCAAAAGTTAACATGAAAAACCTACACAAACTTTTGTTTTAGATATATTATTACTTTCCCTACTTTTACATTTCAAATTGCTTACAAATTAATTTTAAGTATATATGGTAAACAAATGTAAAAAATTTATTTATCTCTGACTTTTTCAAAGCTGAGTTTTACTACACATGTATAGCATAGACAGCTTATGTAAATCAAGGAAAAATACAGAAAGCTTCTAGGAAATGGCTGCAGAACTTTTTTGGCTTCAAAAATAGGAAACATTACTATGTTACTATGTTTCCTAAGAGGGAATTTTTTTAATAAATCCAAAATTTCGATTACAACACTTTTCATTGTTACTCAATCTAAATGCATATGCATAGAATATAATAGTGAACATAAGAATTCAATTTAGAGAAAATTTTACTGTTTGGGACTTTATATGTAGATATACAGCTTGTTGTTTTAAATTTTTCATGCATTTTTATAAAAGAGTTTACTTTCTCAAAAAAGTAATTTTTCGTTTATTCCTTTATCTCTTCATATTTCTTCCCTAGTATCACCATTACTTCCCCTGCAGGTGATTTTATATAAAAATAAATTTTATTTGTACTCAGTACTACTTTAATAAATAACTCTTTATGGAATAAATGCATAGTAAACTTATTTACATGGAGCAAATCAAAATGTAATGTAAAAATCAAAATGGAAAATTTGAAAAAAAAAACTCTTTCATGACTTAAATCTTCAAAATTTTCTAATAATGCAACCCTTGGTCCAAGGTATGTGAATTGTTGTAACCCCATTGTAATACTTATATGACACTGTTAAAATTATTGTATACTAAATATGTATCCCTACACTCATTAAAAATGAAATTGTCATTTTTATGCAAAGATACAGTATTCTTTGCAACAGTTAATAAACAAATGTTACAGAAAGAGGAAGATGCAATGTTTATTATAGTAAAGATGAATTTCTACGCAATCAAGCAATCAAGTGTTGCAAATGATGTTGCCATTTTTACGTTTTCTTCAATCAACTCAAACACTTCTAAAAACAAACACACAACAATCGTTCAGTAAAGAATTTTTTTATTGAAACAGACAATCTTGCATAATTACAAGCCATTGACTCAAGACAACATGCAGCAAATAATCATTATCAATCACATCCAATACATACACATAGGTATTCATATACCAGTTATCCGTCAAAATACATTTTAAATCCAACTTGCATACATTTTATAATCTATACTCACACGCAAGCTATATACCACAGGAAATAGAAGTATTTGAAATATGAATAAAGTATTAACACTGCAGTACAAGATTAAAAAGTTACTCAGAAAAAAATGAACTAGTCATATCAATCTAATATTTAAGAAACAAGTTTTTAAAAAGAAATAGATAGCCATACAGAAGATAAAAATAAAAACAAGTAAAATTACAAAGTACATATATTTGCCAACAGAAGTTATACTACTGTCTTATTAAACTTTCAGACATTGTAAGTGGAAATAGAACATATTAAATATAAATGAAAATGAGCTATTGATAGGTTAGCACAAAGAGTAACAGAATATTGTTGAGATAAATTCATATTTAGAATTGATGATGACACAGTTCATTTAATTCACCTAATCACAGAGAAGGAAGTTACATATCCAAATTCATTCAATGCAAAGTTCAAATTTTTGTTAAGTTATTTTAATGAAATGGAACACATTCTTTCAAAACCAGTTAACCCATCAATACTCTCAACTTCTATGAATTATTTTACAATGCAGAATATACTCACATTAATTACTGCAGTATGTAAACTCCACCCTTACAAACAAAAATAATTCAGAACTATACTATACAACAGACTTCTACAGAAGGTCAAGTGTGGCAGGTCTCTAAGTCATCAAAATTTGAAACTACTATATAAGCACATATGTTCAATACCAACCTAATTTTTGTCTGTTTTTATGCAAGTACTGCAATAAACAGTCAATTTTCAAATTTTCTAGTACAACCCTCCTTTGGAAAAAGTGTTCATGTCACATTATATTTAAAACCACTTGGTGCACTGAAGAAGTGTCTAACAATGAGAGATTTTAATCACAAAGTGAAATTTACTCACACAATGGCTGATATATGGTGAGAAAATTTAAATATTTTCCGACACCAGCCAAAAATGCACACGTAACAGTAGAACTTTAATCAGTTATTTCTCTGAAAAAGCTTTTACTATACCTATGCTGGTACTGTTCTGTTATCAGAACCAGATCCAGAAAAGTATGTATGCTTGTATGCATAGATGTACTGGTTCTGCTTTGTCATACTGCAACAGAAATTCGGTTTGGATTTACAGGGGCGTTAACCTTTTCTTGAATGCATGTATATATGTAAGCACGAATGTATGTATACATATACACACAGATGCACATACATACATACACAACAAGCACATACATTCATATATTTCTGAATCCGGTCCTGATAACAGAACAGTAGCTTTAAGTTTAAAATACTTATTTAATTTCATTACAACGGTTATTGTTTCTAGTTTTATAGCTAACTTCAGTTAAAGGCACAAAATATGTTTTTGATACCTTATTGAAATTATTGGTTAATTGCTTTGATGGAAGTTTTTGTATAAAAACCAACAAGGTACATAGCCAAATCAAATTACTTTTATGATTACTATGTATTGAAAAGGGAACTCAGATCAATAAAACAAATTCAATAATTAACAATTTAAAATAAAGATGAATTAGATGAAATATGAAAATGAACATACAGAATTTATTATCAACATGCAAAATGAAGTTTCATATCCGAAATAAATATAATTCTAATTATGAAAAATGATATGATTAGATGAAACTTCCTATTTATTTGGATATGAAACAAATGACTCATTAGTCAAAGCAACTTCTAGATTAATATACAAAGAGATCTGTTTAAAAAAATTTCTTTGCCTTAAACATTGAAATTTTAATTACATACAATATCCACAATCTCAAGCAGAGATACAAAAAGAAATGGGAAGGAGGAGAGGGTCAGAATACGAGAATAAAACGAAGTATATATGCTTTAAAATATATAGTTCTTTTTCACGGTGCTATGATAGCTTTAAAACACTAAATTTAAAGTAAAAAAAAAAAAAAAAATACAACTTAGTAATATATCGTATGTCAAGTATTTATAAAGAAAATGCAATACATTTTTTTCTTTCTTTCCCTTTTTTTTAAACACTTAGAATTTAACAGACATAAGTAAAAAAAAAAAAGGTAAATTTCTACCAATTTATTTCATAACTTGTTAGATGATTAAATTATGGCATATTAAAAAATTTTATTATTATGAAATGTATCTCTGATTTTTAAACACTTGTTATGCTTCTTAAAAAATAACAATAAAGGTTCTACTGTACATATCATACTAACAAGCATCTGCTTCTAACAACTTTGAATATTTCTTCAGCAGAAATCAAGAATAATAATTCTTTTGCGATAGAATGCAAACAAGTATGATGTGAGTAAATACAGCATATAACATTTAAATAAATGCAACACACACTGAAGACAAACTTCAAAGATTATACATGTATTGACTTCATAATTACACATTCATACACCTAATTACAAATTACATAAACACCATAATTCACAACAAAGAAGGCCATAATACTTCAGCTGGTTAGTATTCAGTGGAGAACGGAGGAAAATACAATTACCTTTTTTTTTTTTTTTTTTCCTTTGCATAGCTTCAGAATACTGATCTATTAATGACAAATAATATATATTTTTATAGCTTATATGATTTGGCTTTAAAATCTTTTAACAGTCTAAAGTTTAGCTCAAAGAGCCAAATACACACTCTCTCAGCAAGGCACTTTTCAAAAATATACAATGCTATATCACTGAAGTGTAACACACTATGTCAATTTTAAATGGTGAATTTTATAAATCTGTCTAGAACAAATATGGAAATCATATTAAATACATATTTTAAAATATTTGCTAATTTTAAGTATTGGAAAAAACAACAAATGGCAGGTTTACGTTTTTTACAAATTTTGTTCAAATATGAATAAGTTAATGTGTGCTGGCATCTAAAGCAATTTATATGAAGATAAAATGCAACCTTCTAGAAAATCTAAAATAAACTTTTTTTAAGAAACCAATTAATCCATTCCATAAACAAATTAATATAATATAAACTAACAATATAATAAATGGCTATGTCAAATATACATATTTCAAATTCAACCAAAATGCAAGTGATGATAAGTATTTAACAATGAATGAGAACTGAAAATACAGAGTAATTTTTAATTCAAAACCGGCATACCATAACCTTTGGAATCTCTTGGACTCCATGGTACAGGCCCTTCATTACTGCCTGACGTCTGATTCATCCATGTAGGACAGCCACCCCCACCCATACTATTGGCATTAGGTCCAGCACCTGATGTATTTACATTAGGATTAGGACAATCATCTGAATTTCCTTGATTTGTAATACCTCCCAATATCCCAAGACCAGCTTGACCTAATGCTGCAGCTACTACTGCTGAACTCAAAGGTAAAGCCGCTCCCAAGTTCAGTGCCCCCATACTGAGAGTGGGAGGGGTTGTATTCATGCCCTTTCCAGCCCCTTGGTTAGGATTAGGATTTCCAAGGCCTAAAGTGGTGCTCAACTGAGCTAAATTAGGAATGTTGTCCCCACCCCTAGGCATGTTATATGGAGATTGATTCCAAATACTTGCATTCCCACCATGGTGACTAGGCCCAAATCCTGGATTGTGTGGAAAATTTGGATTTGGTGTGCGACCATCTCCTTTTCGATTGTGATAGTTCGCATTTGCACTTTTTGGTACAGCACTACTTACAAGCAGACTTGCACCTTTCACAATATGATCTTCACCACAGAGACTTTGTGCAACTTCTGGATGCAGAAACGTTACAAACGCAAATGCTCTGAAGGGTTTGGGGATAAAAACATCTGTTACCTCACCAAATTTAGAGAAGTATTCTTCCAAATCATCTGCAGTGATATCCTCTGTGCAACGGCCGATAAAAACCTTTCTGTTTAATTCAGCAACTTGACCATCCTTTTGAAAAAATAAAAATGACAAATTATAGCACACAGTTTTAAAATAAACACTCATATATATTACAAAAAATAGAAAAGAAATTTAATAAAAATTAATCATAGAATCAAATTTGACAGGAATGGCATTCTATTTAAATACAGAAAGTTAGGGAAAAAAACTATCTAGGGAGCAATTTAGCACTTACTTTCGCTAAAGTACAATTAAGTATCAATTATCTTTGATTTACAAGTTGATTTTGGCAATCATCTTTAAAAAATTTAATTAGAAATTAATAAATTTTTGATAAAAAATGGCAATATATAACCATGATATATTACAAAAAAATAAAATAAAAAATAATTTTATATTTTTATTTTATTTTTTGTAATATATCATGGTTATATATTGCCATTTTTTATTAAATTATTTTTTATCAACCATTTTCCTAATAATATCCTTATTATGAAATAAAAATAATCTAATCAATATTTTTAATGTTGCAAATGAAGTGAATTGCTTTTCTGTCTCATTTGGTGTTATGAAAAAAAAATTCAGCATAGAATAAATATTAACATTTTTTAAATAAAGGTTTTAAGACATATTTTTTTTATTTCCTTGTACATTTATTTTTGCCATCATTTGTCATAGTTACATATTAGAAGCAGTCAATAAATAACGAGTCAGAGGCAATTTCATAGTAATTATTTAATAAAACTCAAAAGTATTGTCCGTAGGCATTTATATCCCATTGTCCCACTAGAAATCATTTGTCTTCAAAGTTTAATGTTTTGTACTTTCAATGGGTAGACATACTGATGTTTTACACATTCATGCCACACACTGAGGAAGACAAACTAGAGCATATAAATTTGTCTGCACAGTGAGCATAACTGATGCAGCTCTCCAGAAACTAAAGACTGGTTTTTCTGAAATTCTAAAAAAAGAAAACTGCTAACAAATAATTCCCTCCCTACCCTAACCATTCATAAAGGGTTCTGAATGAATCCAAAACAGGTTAGGCCATGGAGCATTGTCTGTTATGCATTGATAAGAGGTGGACAGCAAGACAACAGCCAGTAATGTTTAGCGGAAATGCAATAGTATAGGAATAAAGGCATGTGCCTCTTTACACAGAAAAGAAATACAGATGATTTTGACACACACACAATAAATAAATAAATAAATAAAAATATTTTTCTCCCTTAAAGAAAAAGAAATTAATTTTGTCAAATTTTTGGTTTGAATTAACTGAAGTGATAAAAATTTAGTTTTGTAACAGAACTATTTAAGTGTAACTAAACTACTTTATTAAACGCCATGAACTGTAACCGAACTATTTTATTGAAACGCCATCTAGTGGCAAAGTGGAAAAACGTCAGTCGACCTCCAGCCGCCATAATGATAGTTTACTATGTCTCTGTTATTCTAATGTTTGATGTTCCATTAGGATATGTTTCATTTTTATGTATATTTCTTTTGTTTGTAACCGTTCCTGTGTGCTCTGTTAATAAATCCTTTTAAAGCTAGCTAGCCAGCATGAGTGTCTATATCACAGTTTGAATTAATGAGATATTTTTAACATTAATTCCAATATAAGTTTTTTTGGGGGGAGGGGCTTTGGATTAGTTCGAATTAACCGAAGGTTCAAAGTAACCAAATTTGAATTAACGAGCCTCTTTGACTCCTACATGACAATAATCGACTGAGATGCTTAACTTCAAAATTTGAATTTTTTACGTCATTTTCAACTTGCCTTGAGAAATAAGTTAATTAAGTTAGAACAATCCAAGGAAATATGTTTAAATGAAGTGCACAAAAAATTATTGCATTCTCATTAACAGGTGCATAAATTTGAAAGGCAGGACATCCAATTTAATAGGACAAGGAAGTCGTGTCCAGGTCAGATATTTTAAAAAAGGAATTAAATCTTTGCTCCTGTATAGATTATGTTACACAGGAAAATAAATTGAAGTAATAATTTGTGTTTTATTTTAAATTTTTACTTTTCTTCCACCTACCAAAACTCTAGAAGGTAACGGAATAACAAAAGAATGTATCAAATTTTGTCAGTAATACATATATTTCTTTAAGAGTAGTTAGTTATATTAGACTATCTATATAATGCTAAAAATGAAGCTAAAATTATGCAACTGATAATAATTTTCAGCATTCATATTTCTCAAACAGAAAAATTTCTATAAATATGATATAAATATATACATATTACCTTCGAATTTGGAATTCTTACATCACACCATCTTCCATCAATCAGATGACGTTTTGATAATGCTCGTGCTTGAGATTCATAATTACTAAACCTTATGAAACCGAAACCTTTAGACTGACCAGTCTTAGGATCCTTTTTAACCTGCAGAAGCACATTATTTCATAAAACATACTAAATCAATATCTTCTCATTAATATACATAAATTAAAATATTTAAAGAAAATATTACAAAAATTATTACACACACGCATTTAATATGGGTCTGTATATGAATGCTCATCATTGTCAAACATCTATATTTTGAATTTTAAAGATAAAATTTATATAAATAAAGGCCACCTTTCAACTTACTTATTAACAGTATTTATACTTGATGCTCATTTTTCCCCCCTTGTACAACTTAAAGTTACATCAAAAGCTTTTGTCTCATAAATGGGATGGTTTCTATAAAATGCATTATCAGAAATTCCGTACACTATATTTTTTACACATCTTCTTCAATAAATTTCACTGTTGATGTGATATTATCATCTAATAATCTATCAAGTAATTTAGCGCATGATAAGATGCATGTTAATGTTCAGTTAGCAAGTTAGTCGTTTACTGGTGAGTTTTCATATACCTACCCTGGCAACAACTGTGTCCATGTCCATAATATTAGTAAAAGATTTTAATAAATATAAATACAGTCAAAAGTCGTTAATTCGGACACCCATAATCCAGAATGATCTATAATCCGGACCTCAAAGCTATAAACTTTCTGCACATGCGCCGCGTTGACACATGCGCTGCGACACGCAATGAATTGGAAGTTGATCTGTCAGCACTGTCCTTATCTTCAGGGCAGATGTTTTTATTTTATTTGGCTTATAATTCCTTACTAAATGTAGTATTTCATATCGATGTCCTCCGTCTTTGATATGATTTAAATCAAATTCCTCGTCTTTACAACTCGCTTCCGATAGTGAAGAAAGTAACACAGAGGTTATTGAAAACGAAAAAATTTCGACTGACAAATTAGTTGGTATTCTCGACACAGCAATTATAGGACTTGAACAGCGGAACTTTGTAACGAAACAAGATATTATGTCTGTTTAATAGAATTAAAGAAGAAGTATTATCACATGAAACGAAGTAACTTAAACAACTTACGTTGAAAGAAATGTTTAATAAAGTAAACAAATAAATATTAAGCTTTCCTTTTTGTAAATTTTGATACCCTTTAGATCATAATTGTTCTTTATTTCACAAATTACGATTCCATATTTTTAATTTTGTAATTTCTGCATGCCATCTTACCAGATTTAAACTGATGATCTATAATCCGAAATTGCCGAAGTCCCGACGAGTCCGAATTAATGACTTTTGACTGTATAATAATTTAATTAAATGTATTTAATACGCCTTATTTATTTTGCACTTTTAGTCCGAATATTATGCTTTATCTTTTCTGTCCTGAAATCCTAAAATTCGCACAAGCTCTGGTCCCAAGCATTGTGGATTTCTGGACTTCTATTCGCAACAACATTGAAAATTCTCACACTTTGCAGTACTATGAGGAACTACCAGAATGGGCATGGGACTTCTATTTGCAACAACATTGAAAATTCTCACACTTTGCAGTAGTATGAGGAACTACCAGAATGGGCATGATTGTTAGACAGTTCACTATACTTTAAAATTCTATCAGCACCTTTCAGTTTTCCAATGAAACAACACTGGATGTCAATCCTAGCAGGGTCAATCTGAGTGGGTTTCATTGGTCAAAAATAATAGATAAACACAAGCTCTGGTCCCAAGCATTGTGGATTTCTGGACTTCTATTCACAACAACATTGAAAATTCTCACACTTTGCAGTACTATGAGGAACTACCAGAAACGGCATGGGACTTCTATTTGCAAGAACATTGAAAATTCTCACACTTTGCAGTACTATGAGGAACTACCAGAATGGGCATGATTGATATAAGATTTAAATTGATGATCTATAATCCCGAATCGCCGAAGTCCCGACAAGTCCGGATTAAAGACGTTTGACTGTACTATAGCTCTATATTTTACTCATATTATAGGACTGTTAGATAACCAATTTAAATATTTTCATTTTTTATAATTAACCTCGTTAAGCTTTCAATAATGCCCCCCTTTTTAATGCAATGTTATTGCAAGCATTTTTGTTAACGATATGAACTGAAATTCAATTTTATGTTGACCTTAATTCTCAGATATTAAAGTAGATTTCACAGTAAATACACAGATGTATACAAACATTCCCCAATTTACAGCCATTTAGAGATATGACCAAATCTAGAGTAAAATTTGCTCATAGTCACAGAGAAAATAAACAAATGGAAACTTCATTTTCTTTCCAAAAACCAACACAAAAATTCTGAGAGATTTGCTGAATAAAGTCTTCTGCTCATATAGTGTTATTGTCTTATTTACAATAGGGACGGGGAATGTTTCAGACTATGTTTAGATAATTATTTTAAGGCACTTCAGAAATCAGCATTGCAGGTCCATCTAATATGGCAACTTCTCCAGTCTCCTCATCATAAATGTCCTTTTATTTATCAACGAATCATCGGACACAGACTCGGACATTAATGCACCAAAATCCATGTAAAGATCTTCCGCCTTAAAAATGACAATCCGACAAAAATATATTTACGGGTGCTCCTTGACAATAACAACCGATTTTTGACAGTACATGGACACCGAGTTTGTGCAATTCTTCGACTTATTATTTTGGCTTTGTGTAGAGGCGATTTTTGGCCAAAAATCGCAGCTACATAAATCAAAAATAAAAAGTCAAAGAATTGCACAAACTTGGTATCCATGTACACACTGACTTATTTTCATTTAAAAAAAAATCAGAGAATTGCACAAAATAGGCATTGCGCACTCCCTTGAATTTGTCCATGTACACATCGATCTATATTTACTTAAAAAGTCAAAGGAATAGCCCACAAAAATATAGAATCTCAATAAATTACATTTTTAATCAAACAATGAAATAACATAAAAAAGGAAATTCATTTTAGCACTACACAAATATCCACTTACCTTATTTACAAATTTCCCCATCTTCAGTCAAACAACATTCCTTAACAGCACCCAAAAACTACCTAAAATTATTTGAACCAGAATCTGTATACTGGCATCGTCACATAAATTCACAAAAGTAAGAGTAAAAAATATCCTCCGTAGCGCAAGTATCCTACGACGTTCGACCGTACACATTTCCTTCCTACAAACAGGACACTAATAACAGTAACTAGGTAAACCTTCATTTACACACCAGTCAATTAATGCTTTTTTTCCCTTTTGTTCTGTACAGAAACTTCAAATTAATCTTACAACATTCAGTCATTTTACCATGTAAACCACAAAACAACAATGTACTTCTTATCCAAAATTCATCCCATCATTCAAATTCACCGCAATCACACAACCAATTACATCATAATAGGGTTTTCATTACATTCAAATACTCAGGTTACCATAAATGAAACAACAAGATGGCGATAAATGAAACAAGAACTTAGCCAAGGGGCACCTTCAATCTACTCTAACCAACAATCCAAGACACGTACAGTAAAATAATTATTTAATTATACAGTATTTAAAATTTTAAATGCATTATTTGTTTTTTAACTGTTTATTTGATAATATTTATAGCTCTTATCTTATGAACACCATTGTGGAATATGCCAACCTAGTAAAATTTTATAAACAAAATTCACGATACAAACAATCTGTGGGTATATAAGTATGTAAGCTGGCAAGTGTCCATATAGAGAGAGACATACAAACCTATACAGTCAAAAGTCGTTAATTCGGACACCCATAATCCAGACCTCAAAGCTACAAACTTTTTACGTGTTGACGCATGCGCGTAAGACCTTTACGGCTGCGAATATGCATGTGCGCATGCGCAAAATACGTTTACGAATGCGCGTTTAATGTATAACGGACGGTATAAGCTAAGCTAAAATTATCTAATTCAGTTAAAGTTGCAGATTGCATTGTTTCTTAATCTTCGCATTGGATTCGGCTTATTATTTTTTGCAGACTGTTAGAACAATTTTGTAAAAGTAAGCTTGAACTTTCAATTATGTCAAATAGAATTTCTGATATATATTTACTAATATGTAAGGGATCTACAAAGCAAAAGTATGTTTCAAAGTCCATTAAACAAAAAGTGGAATTGCTGCAAAAAAAATGGATAAAGACATATTCTTTGTTTATCTAACCATTCCGAAATCTGTTTATCAATCACGCTGCTCTGCAGCGGGGGGGACGCCGCGGCACACTATGAATTGGAAGGTGATCTGTCAGCACTATCCTTATCTTCAGGGTAGATGTTTTTATTTTATTTGCATTACAATTCCTTACTAAATGTAGTATTTCATCTCGATGTACTAAGTCTTTGACATGATTTAAATCAAATTCCTCGTCATTATAATTCGCTTCCGATAGCCAAGAAAGTGACACAGAGGTTACTGAAAACGAAAAAATTTCGATTGACAAATTAGTCGGTATTCTCGACACAGCAATTATAGGACTTGAACAGCGGAACTTTGTAACTGAACAAGAAATTATGTCTGTTTATAGAATTAAAGAGAAAGTATTATCACATAAAAAACGAGCAACTTAAACAACTTACGTTGAAAGAAATGTTTAATAAAGTAAACAAATAAATATTAAGCTTTTTTTTTGTAAAATTTGATACTTTTTAGGTCATAATTGTTCTTTATTTCATAAATTACAATTTCATATTTTTAATTTTATAATTTCTGCATGCCATCTGACCAGATTTAAACTGATGATCTATAATCCAGAATCGCCGAAGTCCCGACGAGTCCGGATAAACGACTTTTGACTGTATATGCATGCATATACACAATAGAATAAATAGAACATGAAACTGAATTCAAAAAGAAAATAAAAAATTGAATCTACACTCATGTCCATAAATTAAGGATAATTCGGAGTCACGCGGAAATCAAACTCTAAAATAAATATATCACCTGTAAAATCACTACACACATCTTCAAGAATCATATGCAAATTTCAGGAAGTAACCAAATTACACCAATGACAAGAGTGTAAGAGACTGATATATAAGGAATACAGG